GCAGAAACAAAGAACATTGGGATTAGCTATGGTGTTTATTATTTATGGTCATTTATTATTTACTAATCTAAAATTTACTAATTATTTACTAATCTAAAATTTACTAATTATTTACTAATCTAAGCTCAGATTTACAATATAATTAAAAGATACAGTACAAAAAGAACCGAAAGGTAGCCAGTTTGGTGTAGTGGTTAAGAGTGGCGGACTCTAATCTGGAGAACCAGGTTTGATTCCCCACTCCTTCTCGACATGAAGCAAATTTACTAATTATTTACTAATCTAAGCCCAGATTTACAATATAATTAAAAGATACGGTACAGAAAGAACCAAAAGATACAGTACAGAAAGAACCAAAAGAGAGCGAGTTTAGTGCAGTGGTTAAGAGTGGCGGACTCTAATCTGGAGAACCAGGTTTGATTCCCCACTCCTTCTCGACATGAAGCCTGCTGGGTGACCTTGGGCCAGTCACAGAGCTCTCTCAGACCCACCTACCTCACAGGGTTTCTCTTGTAGGGAGGTGATGGGAAGGAGATTATAAGCCGCTCCGAGACTCTGAGGGAAGGGCAGGTTATAAATCTATCTCTTCCTCTTCTTCTAGGTCACCCAGCAAGCTTCTATGTTTGTTTCTTTGTTTTTTGCTGTTAAGTCACAGCTGTCTTATGGTGACCCTGTAGAGTTTTCAAGGCAAGGGGCATTCAGTGGTAGTTTGCCATTGGCTGCCTCCACGTCACAACCCTGGTATTCCTTGGAGCTCTCCCATCCAAATACTAACCAGGGCCAATTTCTGAGATCTGATGAGATCCACGGTAGAAATGGGGATTTGAACTAAGGTTGCCCGAGGTTCAAGTCTTCCAGTTTGGTGTAGTGGTTAAGTCTGATCTGGGAGAACTGGGGTTGATTCCCCACTCCTCCACATGCACCTGGCTGGATGACCTTGGGCAAGCCATAGCTCTGATAAGAGCTGTTCTTAAAAAAGAGCAGTTTCTGTCAGAGTTCTCTCAGCCCCACCTACCTCACAGGGTGTCTGTTGTCGGGAGGGGAAGGAGTTTGTAAGCCGCTCTGAGGCACCTTTGGGTAGTGAAGGGCGGGGTATAAATCCAATCTCTTCTCTTCTTCTATCCACTAAAACACAGTGACTCTCGAAATGGTGTTTTGAAATGAAAAGGACTCTTGAAAGCTATTTGGGATATATCATAACTGCCGTTTCAAGAAAAGGAATAAAAAATCCCACTGGACATGCTCAAATTTTTAAATAAATCTAAAGCATTTTTTGGGAATCCAACTTTTGTCTACATATCCTCAAATTATGATGGCGCAATTCCATTGCAAGTAATAAAGACGCATGATTGTATGGTATTCAGAAAAAAAAGATTCAGTCTTTTCGTAATTAACTAGCATCCACTTTATGTTTTGGCGACAGCCTAAAAAGCAGTTTTTGCTCTCTTTAACTTGGTAACTGCACTGAGATTTTTCTCAACAGTCATCCTGTGTATAACATGATCTACTGCTACTTAAATATTGCATTATCAATGCTCTCCCTATTGCCACAGCACTGTGATATTTTTAGACAATTCTGTTCCGTGCTCCGGAAAGGTATGAAAGATAGTCTCGCCTTTTCTGAATGCTCTGAAAAGCTCCCATTAGGCTTATATAGCTCAGTGAAGAACCAGATGGTATCCATTTGATAAAAACAAAAATACAGACTCTACGGGTCCCTCAAGGATGCCGTTCAATTCCTCAACCTTTCCTGCAAGCAAAATTAATGGCGAAGCACTTTAGATGCCCTTTTATGTGTGAGCGGTGATTATATTACTACTCTGACAGGCAGTCTTTATGTAATCTGGAGGCATTTTATCATCATTCTGTAGCCACCTTGTGATATAATCTTCAGCCTCATAATGAATCTGTACGTGCAGAGGTCATTTCGGGGGGGGGATCGCAGGGGATCGCAGTTCCCCCGGGTGAGGGGGTGACATGATTGAGGTTTATAAGATTATGCATGGGAAAGAGCAGGTAAAGAAAGAGGTACTTTTCTCCCTTTCTCACAATACAAGAACTCGTGGGCACTCCATGAAACTGCAGAGCGGTCGGGTTAGAACGGATAAAAGGAAGTACTTCTTCACCCAAAGAGTGATTAACACATGGAATTCACTGCCACAGGAAGTGGTGGGTGCTACAAGCATGGACGGCTTCAAAAGGGAATTAGATAAACATATGGAGCAGAGGTCCATCAGTGGCTATTAGCCACAAGGTATAGATAGGGACTCTGGGGCAAGTGATGCTCTGTCTTGGTGCTTGGGGGGGGTCAACAGGGGGAGGGCTTCTAATGTCCCGGCCCCACTGGTGGACCTCCTGATGGCACTGGTATTTCTGGCCACTGTGTGACACAGAGTGTTGGACTGGATGGGCCTTTGGCCTGATCCAACATTGGCGTCTCTTATGTTCTTATGTAAAAGCAGAATCTGTGTGGGCCTTAGGAGGTTACTCTGGCCCACAGGCCCTCTCAAAAGTCCAGAGATGCCTAGGCCATTTTTATCACTTGATGTCCCTAGCCCACCCACCATCTGCTCTGCCTAGGGTTGATAGGTCCCTCGGACCTACTGGCGGGGGATGCAGGATAAACTTACCGGGAGTGGGGAGGAATGCTGAAAATAATAAGCGTGACGTGCCTACATGACCTGGAAGTGATGTAGGGACGTCAGGGATGTCGGGGGGCGACACTCTGGTTTTGGGGCAAAACTCTATGGTAGAATTAGCTGCATTCCACTAACTGGTTAACTGTTGCAGTTGTTGTTAGGGAAGACAGATGAACATCCAAAAGAAGCTTGCAGAGCCCTGAAAACACTTGTGAGCTCTCTTTGTCTGTAGCGTTTCAACTAATCGGACGCTGCGATATGCGAGAGTCACTGGCTGGCTGTTCCACTGCTGCTACTGTCTCTTTCCCCATCTCTGCTAGGGAACACAGGACCTGGCAGCAGTTGCATCAGACAGGCCTCTTCTGTCCCGGACATTCAGGCGAGGGGCCTTGGCTCAGTGGCAGAGCATCGACTTGGCTCTCGAAAGGTCCCAGGTTGAATCCCCAGCATCTCCAGTTAAAGGGTCTGAAAGCAGGTGATGTGAAAGACCTCTGCCTGAGACCTAGGGAAAGCTGCTGCCAGTCTGAGCAGGCGATTCTGACCTGGATGAACCAATGGTTCATGTGTTCATCTGCAGTATCCGTTATCAGGAGGAGGAGGCAGCGATAGTAAGGAGGCAGGCGAGTAAGGAAGGAGAGAAAGTACAGCGTTCTCTCCCTGGCTGCACTCCTGTATACAGGCTTCAGCACCACTGTTCTGGCAGAAGTGATTTAGATCTAAGCTAGTTTAGTGCATCTTTCTATAGCACAATGGAGGTGTGATAAGACTTGCTGGAGTTGTCGAAAACTCCCTGAGCCCCAACCCCTCCTCCTTTTGTTAAACCTAAATGATCAGGGATGGAAACAACTTCATTTTACAGATTCCTGACTCAGATCCCGAAAATCTGCCCCCTGTGGATCCTCCAGATGCCAGCCTGATCTACCCAGTCCCATCCAACATCAGACCTGTTCTAAGCAAATACCGAGTCGAGGTGAGTAAGCCAAGATAATGTGCCAGTGTCTGTTCCCCATTAAGATCAGCTTTTGGGTGCAGATGTGAAGCACAAATGTACTTTGGTGAACAAAGCATCCCAAAATATCTGTTCATGTATCCCACTTATATCTCCCCCTTTCTGGTTGGCCACTGTGTGAGACAGGATGCTGGACTCGGTGGACCATTGGTCTGATCCAGCAAGGCTCTTCTTATGTTCCTTCAAGGCACTGCGAACAATAGACACAAGGGTTATTATATTCTGTCCTCAGAACAACCCTGCAAGGTAGGCTGGGCCAAGGCTTGCCCCCCCCCCCGATCCCTCTTCTCTGGTGAGCTTGATGGTTGCCTGGGTTTGAACTCAAGTCTCTCTGGCCCAGGTCCATCCCTATCAGGTCTCATATGGTGTATTTTTGGCACATTTCAAGGAAATAATTGCTTATAAGCACACAAGGACACATCCAGCTGTCCTGACACGGGTCATTTTTAATGCTAAATCAGATTCTCATCAAGCAGGGCTGAAATCTTGCTTTGAAAATGGCTCATTAGTCTCTATTGCTTTCAGTTTGTAATTTCTTAATATAGAAAATCCTCTACAGGTGTCATTTGCCACTGCCAGTTAGGCTGAACAAAATGTATCATCTCTGCTGGAAATATGAGACTTGGGAGCTAATTGGTATCCCTCTTGAAGGGATCATTAAAAAATTACCAGGAAGCCGTAATGCAGTGATGGAAACTGACTGGACATGCTGTACACTGTAGCTTCTATCTATCACATTTGTTTCTTGCCTTTCCTTTTGGGGTGGCATACATTGCCTTGGCCAGTCTCTTCTGCATATTATCCTCACAATAATCCAGTGAGGTCGGCTAGGCTGTGAGAGAAAGGTACTGGCCCAGGTTCACTCGCTGGGCTTCACGGAGAAGATGCTCCAGTCTCCCCACCCCTGGGGGGGCATTTTTCTGACCTGATATAGCTCTGGAGGTGCTGTGTGACCCAGTGGGAAACTTATGGGTAGCCAGGGGTCTTTTTGTAGAAAAAGCCCAGCAGGAACTCATTAGCATAATAGGCCACACCCAACAGCAGGAACTCATTAGCCTATTGGGCCACACCCCTGACAGCACAGCTCATTAGCCCATTAGGCCACACCCCCATGTTACCAGAAGTGTGGTTATCCAGCTACACCCACCTTTTGCTTGTTATTCTGTTTAC